CTGTCATTTTGCCACTTCCTTTCTCTGTCTCTCTTTCTCTGTGTCTGTCTGTCTCTCTGTCTCTCTCTCTCAATATATATATATACCCTGTTGTGGTGCCATAGAATAAGCTAAGCACTGGACTTATAACCACAAAGTTGGTGGTTCAAACCCACCAGCCACTCCTTGGAAACCTTAGACATATGAATCGGAACCAAAATGACAGCTTTACACTTAACAATAATATTTATGTCATAGCCTAGTTGATTTAATTATTTAGATATTGTAGTAGAAAGTAAAATTTTTATTTACCTTATTTGAACCACATATAGAGCCCTCATCCACCAGAGTATCATCATAGTGAAACCTTAATGTAGCATTTCTTAAAAATGCAGACATACATATATGTCCTCCAAGGAAGGTATATTGAATATCATAACCTGGTACTGTCGGTAAATGTGCTGCTGTCCAGTGACAAACTATCTTTCCACAAAAGATACCCCTGGCAATAAGAAGCATAAATAATCATTCACTTGTCATTTATGGACAAAAAAATTAGACAATTACAAATATAAGGATAATGTAAAATCTTACTTAATTCAAATTAAAATACCAAAGATAATCAGAATACAAACTATATTATGAAGTACAACATATAAACTCACCTTTATGCACTTGGCTTATCTCGTTTCTATTAGAAGACTCTTTGCAACACAAACATACTCACATATTTGAGAAAAATGTAGGTTTCTAAATACATACTCAGCACTACAACGTTTTCCATCACAGTTTCCAAATTCATCGAAATGAGCATTCACCTCTTGCACACACAGATAATCAGCACCTTTTGCAACTGGAAGTATAAACAAAGTTCAAATTACTCACTCTTGAGAAATATCTTAAAAACTCAAGTGGTAATAAGTTAACAGCAACATCTAGACTATAGCAATGAGTCCAGTGTTAAGTGATCTTTTTATCATCTGTACTTAAAGTTCACTCACATCCCTTCAATTACTTAATAGTTGACTAATATTTTATGTTTTCACTTTTTTTTTAACCTCAACATAGTGTAAAGTGGTTTTTGTTAAGATTCTTATTTTATTTTACTTTAAATTTAGATTGAAAAATGAAAGCTTTTAAATCTTTATAATAAGTGGCATACTTACCTCTGTGTAGTTACGTCTAAAAAGGAGCTCCTCTAAAACCTATGGGATTTAGTTAAGCCAGTAATCAAAAATATTTTTTTAAAGAAATTTATAGTTATTAAAGTCTTACTTTGAAAAGTAAAGCTAAATAGATTAATTCTATAACTTGATGAAAAACTAAATCCAACGCTACCAAAAGAAAGAAATTACAAAACAGCAGAGCAGAAATAAATGGAAAAAAGAAGAAAAACAATAGAAAGGTGAGCAAAAGCAGTTGATCAATAACACTGACAAAGCTTTGTCCAGGCTGACAAAGAAAAAGAAAGAGAAGATGCATATATCTAAAATTAGAAATGTAGATAGGGACATTACAACTGATCCTTTAAAGATAAAATGGATTCGGAACAAACATATGAATTGTTGTATGTCCAGAAATCAAACAATTTAGGAAAAATGGACAAATTCATTGAAAATACAAACACATTCCACTTAACTCAACATGAATTAAATGACTGCAAAGAAAGCAAGTGAGAAAATTGAATTAGTAGCTTAAAACTTCCTAACAAATAAACAACCTAAACTGTATGATTTATTTATACAATAAATGACTCTTGGTGTGGTCCTGTAGGATCAGCACTGGACTGCAAACCACAAGGTCAACAGTTCAAACCCACCAACTGCTCCTCAGAAACCCTATAAGTGCTTGCTATGAGTCAGAACCGACTCTGTGGCACTTAACAAAAACAATATACTAATTAAGTTTTTTGGCAATCAAGATAGCAGATTGGGTAGATGTGCAGTGAAGAGCTCTGTCACCAACAACACAGAATACCAGGCCAAGCAGACTCAGGGAATGGTGCTAGAACTCTGAACCACATATAAAGGAATATTTAGAAGATTAGAAGGCTTATTGCTAGGAGAATTTGTACCAGAATCAAGAAATCCATTGCTTTCTAATTCAAGATGCTCAGCTATTCCCAGAGCCGCTATCTTGGGAGCGACCAAGAGGGGGAAGGATCAGAACAGCAACGAATGCCTGACAGAACCACAGAGATACAGATGTGGACATTCATTTTTTGGTAGCTGTTCATTGGTCTCTAGCTATCTGTGCACCTCCATTCTGGTGACTAGAGGGATAGCCTGAGCAAACGGATACTCCACCCCCACCCCTGAAGCGTTCTATTATGCATGCACACAGATCTCCTTGAAATTGAAAGTGATAGTTTCCACTTAAAACCAAACAGCCACCACTTGTCTGTCAGTTTGTCACACTGTGGTGACTTGTGAGTTGCTGTGATTCTGAAAACTATGCCACCGGTATTTTAAATAACCATCAGGGTCACCCATTATGAACAGGTTTCATATGAGCTTCCAGACAAAGACAGACTAGGAAGAAAGAGTGATGAACTACTTCTGAATGGTTAGTCACTGAAAACCTTATGAATAGCAGAAAAACACTGTCAGATATAGTGCCAGAAAAAGAGTCCCTCAAAATATGACTGGGGAAGGGCTGCCTCCTCAAAGTAAAATTGACCGTGATAACACGAATGGAGTAAAGCTCGTGGGAGAAAAGCCCACAGGACCTCCATGTTCTTATGGGACATAACTCAAAATGAAGTGAAACAGCTGTAAATACCCACTGAAAATCAGAACATGGAATGTATGAAGTATGAATCTGGAAAATTGGAAGTTGTCAAAAATGAAATGGAACACATAAATATTTTAGGCATTAATGAGCTGAAATGGACTGGTATTGGCCATTTTGAATCTGACAACCACATGGTTTACTATGCAGGGAATGACAAATGGAAAATGAAAGGTGTTGCATTCATCATCAAAAAGAACATATCAAGATTAGTCATGAGGCACAATGCTGTCTGTGATAGGATAATAACCATGCACCTACGGTGAATCCCAGTTAATACCACTATTATTCAAATTTATGGAAAACATAGAAATCAAATTGACTACATCTGCGGAAAGAAAAGGTGGAAAAGTTCCATATCATCAGTGAAAACAAGGCAGACTCTGGAACAGACCATCAATTACTCATATGCAAATTCAAACTGAAGCTGAACAAAATGAAAACATGTCCACAAGAGCCAAAATATCACCTTGAATATATTCCACCTAAATTTAGAGATCATCTGAAGAACAGATCTGATGCATTGAATACTAAAGACAGAAGACCAGAAGAGTTCTGGTATGACATTAAGAACATCATACATGAAGAAAGCAAAAAGTCATCGCGAAGACAAGAAAGAAGGAAAAGGCCAAAATGGATAAATTTGCTCTCCAGCATA